TCTCCTTTAGGTAATGACAACCCGATGTTTGAAAAACTACCAAAAAACTCCTTATATTATTGGTATTGATTACGCTGTGGAAATTATGGACAATAGAGCCAAGGGATGTATTAAGTCTTATAGAGGACATTAATATCAACATTAAAGTACATGTATCATATGTAACTAACCTAATATCAGAATACCTATTTTTTCATTTAAATGTTTGCGATGTAACGCACGTCGCACCGGTACATATCAGGTCACATTATAGGAGAGAGGAAATCCCAAAATGACGGAAACTATGCGCTAAAAAACCAGGACCAAGGACGTTGAAATAAAGAGGGGCTCTTACCTTTTAAACCATTAAACCTATTTGGTGAAATTCGGTACAGCGATAGTTTGAGACCCGGGAAAGGACATCTAAAAGTTTTTAACCCGAAAAACCCACGAAACCAGGAACTGTGCTGTTAAAATCACTATATCTATTTGATTGAAATGCGATACAACATTGATTTGCAAACATAGAATAGTGAAACCTCACGAGACGGGCACTGTACGGGTAAAACCTCTATGGGATTGTTTATTTTAGAAACCACGAAAATAAATTCATTTCTCAATAAATATATAGCCTAGGTAATCGATTGTGATGATAACTGTTCCAGTTGTACAGCCGTAGAATATACCTTGACAAAGACTAATTTAAAAAACCCAATCTATACAGAAGTCGTTATTTCACGCGGACAAAGTCGCGGGTAACAGCTAGTAATATATAAACATATATTATATAATACTTAAACTAACTTAAAAATTAGTCTTTTGGGCACCCTACCTCACGGTAGCGATGAGGAAAATATTTTCTTTGATGCCTTATAATTTTTTTTTTTTCATTATTATTATTTTTTCATTAGGTATTATTATTTTTTCATTATTATTATTTTTTCATTATTATTATTTTTTAAGGTGTAAATATTTTAGTTTTAATTATACTGTAAAAATCTTTAAAAAAAAAAAAAATTTAAATACATAGTAATATCTTGGTAATATCAAAAAAAAAACTTAAAAACGATTTCATATTTAAATTAACTAAAAACGTGGGTTACTCACGTGAATATACTGAGAAAAGCTCTACTAGTTTTGAACCACAGAGAGGTTCTTCCTTATGAGCAGCGTGCGCGGTCGCGGCGATGTCGCGCGATTTCATATTTACAACAAACTCATACATTCTGTCTCAGTCTTTCTTGGGGTTTTAAGTACAGAGAACGACGATGTTATGTTCATTCCATGCACTGTAATACATAACAGTTTACTTATTTATGTAAATAGGAATAACAACAATGTATACTCATCAAATACACTGGATTTTTTTTTTTTTTTTTTTTTTTTTTTTTTTAAGGGGGGAAAATCATCGAATGACTGCCCCCGCCTGGGTGAGGCGGGAGGGAGTGTCAGACTCTTACTGACTAAAAACCACCCCGTTCCTTCTCCTGCACGTCGAGCCGGAGCCCCGGTTACCCGTTAGGTTCTCCGCGACTCCGAATCGGCATCGGCCCTATTGGACCCCATCTGTGGTGGTCTGATGGCTCTTTGAGGCGCGCGCGGAACGCGACGCGCCGTACGCTCGGGTCTGTTTCTGGTCGGACGGGGAGCCACCCATGCTCGCCGTCCGCAGGCCCGCGCTTACGGTGGCCGGAGATCGTCCCGCGATCCCCGACGCCCGGTGTGTCCTTCGCGATGGCTGGGTTGCGAGGAGGCAGCGCTTCGCTGCCTCACGCGTCCCGCCTCCTCCTTAGCTAGCATGACTGCTTCGCAAAAGGAGGAGACGGCATCCCAATCCCCCTCGCTCCGCATCATGGCCTGCACTAGGCCCGGACGCGAGAGGTCGCCATCGCCGATCACTTCCCTGAGGACACGGCGGTGCTCAGCCCACGAAGGGCATTCTCCCACCGTGTGTTCCACCGTGTCCTCAGGGCGGTCCTCGCAGTGATGACACCCGGGCGTTTCCTCCCGCCCCATCAGACACAGGTACCTCCCGAAACTGCCATGTCCGGTGAGGACCTGCGTCAGGCGGTAGGTGAGGACGCCGTAGCGTCTCTCAAGCCACTCCTCAAAGAGGGGACTTACCGCTGCGATGGCAGCGAGCCCAAAATACACTGGATAAACAGCTCTTACAGGTAAAAAGACACGATGTTATGTTTAATACAAACAAATTTCTTAAAAAACCTTCCTAATCTAAAGAAGACAACATATAAACAGTCATACACAATACCAACTACACATACAGTAACTACAATGACATTTCCAAACTGCGTTGGCTTTCGGGAACAAACTCCAGTCGTTACTGCACTGTGGCAGTAATTAGCAGAGGAAAAACGTAGCGATATGGGCCGAGACGAATCAGATGGAAGCTGAGGCAAGAAGGAAAAGAATGACGTGGATAGGGCATCTTATGGGCGAAATTAATAAGCTATCTTAATTTAAAATAGATAGAAATTAAAAATATAGGTATAAAAGGATAGGAATAAATTTTTATAAAATAAGTTAAATAACCGACTTCAACTCCCTCTTTTTTGAAGTTGGCTAATTAATGTAAGTACTTAAACCTTCTCCTAAGAGTAACAAAGACATTTCTGAAAACCGCATCAAAATCAGTTCAGCCAATGTCTCGAGATAATCGCACACAAACTTGCCTACATACATAAACTCAATTTTTTCTTTTGAAATCGGTTAAACACTGTTTAGATGTTGGGAAAGAAAGTTATTATGGAGAACAATATTGCGAAAATTGTTCCTACCATACCTAAGTAGCTCATTATAAAATCGGACTTACTATAAAGTATTTCAACACATTAACGCCTTTTTTTATGGCATAAGCCGGTAAACGAGCAGACGGATCTCTATCTTTTCATTAACAAACCGGACCAAATCAAAAGCAATCTACTTAAAACCTATAAGTATCTACGTTATATCCTTTGTTCCCTTTCAGATACCTACGAGTTTACTTATCCAACAGGACAAACATGACTTCATACCTTCACGCCAGCTATTGCATTTAGCCGCCGACTGAAAGTTACATAACGCGCGCCCGTTACTTTTTACATTTAGACTACAAATGTTAAATGCCTAAGCACACTTGCTATTGTGGTCGGGATACCTACCATCTTTATACTATGTACCTACTTCCTACTTGTAGATAGCTTGAAGTATTGTTCTTTTAAGTATTTAGGACTTAGATGCCTTACTCTCTGATTTATTTCGCAGGATAAATAAATGTTTGTTCAAGTTTAATCTTTGATGAAATTTAATTTACGGCCATTATCTATAACCTAGTTAATTAGTTTAAAAGATAAAAAAAAGTTAATAAAAAAATAGTAATTATAAATAGTTAAAAGTAGGTCGTAGGTATTGTAATTTTGATTTTTTTTTAATAGAAACTTTGATTTTATTTTTAAGTAGACGACCCAGCAAACGCCATACCGCCTAAAATTTTTTTCTCACTTTTTAAACGTTCCCTTTACATTTCAAAAGTACCTAAAATTAGCCATATCTGTTCAGCCGTTCTCGAGTTTTAGCCAGACTAACGAACAGAAATTATTTTTTATTACATAGATTTATGAACTATCAATTTCAATAATATATCAACCGCCCGTGGCAGCCCACTGCCACATTATGGGCCTTCTTTACTTTTATCTGTACTTATCATATACCACACTTGGCTGGCAGATTGGATATCTCAGTTCAGACTTAACAAAAAGCCCTGCTGCCCAGTTTCTGTCAAAATATGTGCAATCCCTTTAGTCGGTTCTTAATTACTTTAGGTAGGTACTATCTACAATCAGGCGAAGGGTGACCACGGGCCTACGGACGGCGAATACGGGTGACTCAAGGAGCTATCAGGCACCACAGATGGGGAGGGCTGATGCCGATACGGAGCCGCGGAAGACTTAATGGGTTGCCAGGACTCCGGCTCAAAATGCAGGAGTAGGAACAGGGTGGTTTTTAGTCAATAAGAGTCTGACACTCACTTCCGCCTTACCCGGGCGGGAGAAGCCATTGGATGCTTTTCCAAAAAAGGCGAAGGGTGACAAATGTGTAATTTTCTACCGTCACCATAAGGAACAAATTTTACTTTAGGTATAGAAATAATATAGCTTTTAGTTTAATGTAATTTGTACATGTTCCACTCAGTTCACTCCTGTAACAGTTACCTAAACTGAGAAGCGCCTAATATTGCAACCGCCACCACAGTTGCGCTTACTACAAATTGCTATGAATTTTTTTGTAGGAACTTCGTGTTTTTTTTAATTTCGTACTTTCAAATGTATTTCGGGTCTACGGTAAAGTTTTTGTTGTGTTTTAGTTGTTTATTTTATATATTATAATCGTAATTACTATTTCTCTTATACAATAGAACATTTAACCTTTGGATCAAGCCTATCAGCTTCGAATGCACGGTTGGTGTGGTGGCTGGGCAACCGACTGCCGCACAACGTGTCGCGGGTTCGAGGAAACAACACTTTTGTGTGATTCATAAATTGTTGCTTCCGATTTGGGTGAGTCATGTGTATGTGAACTTGTATGATTGTAAAAGCACCCAGCGTGGGGAAACGATTAAAAAATAATATTGGGGAATTGTTAAAGGTAAATAGTTATCAGTTTGACTTTGTTATTAATTTAAAAACTTGCATCATATCAACAGGGTACATTTTTGGGGGACGTACCCACACAGGCAAATCCAATTTATGTTCAAATTTTTTAATTTTAAAACTTTGCCCCACACTAAGATTTTCTCCTGTGTCGTGGGTACGTTTACAAACATACAATATCACATACACATGACACCCAGACCCGGAACATCAATCTGTGGATCACACAAATAGTTGTTCCATGCGGGAATCGAACCCGCGACACGTTGCGCGGCAGCCAGTTGCCCAGCCACCGCGCCAACAGTGCAGTCAATGTTTCATTTAACATAGAAAGAAATAAAATAAACAATATCAACGAAAACAAAACATTTATTCTTATTGTCCTTTATTTTTTACATTATTTTTCTTAATTAAACTTCGAGAATCATTCGTTAACTGCTCGAAGAATGCCTTGGACGTCTTCGGACAGGTTGCTACAGCGCCTTTCTCAGTATTCCTATGTTCTGTCACCTTAGCCACTTTTCCTTTCTGGCGTTGTAACTTCTTCTTTTTCCTTCTTTCTCTATTCTTGTCAGTCTGTGTTCGTTCTTCTTTGCTCATCAGTTCTCCTTTACGCTTCCTCTTCACTTCCTCAGGAGCTAATAATGTTGCATCACTCGTGGCGACTGGAGCCACTTCTTCCATTGATATAGCTGGTGTGTTGCTCACAATCTTGACTTCGGCTTGTGGTGCTTTTGGTGTGTAGTGGTAGTGACATAAGGCATCTAATTTTGCGAATAACTTATTCATTGTGTCGCGAATTTCGGTGTGAGCTTCTGGTTCCTTCTCTTCTTCAACTTCACCGGTTGCTGCCTGCTTTTGTTTTATATATTCAGCTTCATATACCTGAGCTAAACTTAATTTGCTCTTAGCATGATCTAGTACTACTTCCTTCCGGAATGAAAGTTGGTCATCAACTGGTTTTTCCTTCTTCTCAACATCATCCCAAGCTTTGTCTTTTATCCTGCGTCTGATGAGTCCTTCTAACGTGACTGTAGTCTGCTCTGTTATTATAGGCGGTGGTCTACTTGTAAGGTCAAAGTCTACTACTTCTTCAAGAAGCGAGTTTTGCGGACGTTTCAAAGCGTCTATTTCACCTTTCAACTGCCACGGAGCTTCTGACAAGGTTTTCTGTTCTAATTTTTCTATCTGTTGTTTTAAACGTAGCTGTCGTTGTTCAAATTCTGATTTCTTTTCGTCTGGTTGTATTTTATTGTTGTTTGTGGGTGTGTCACTATCTACAGATTCATCATCATCATCGGAAGATGAGTCTGATAATGCAAACTTCACTTTTTTCTTATTATCTTTTTTGGGAGGCTCTACATCTGACTGATCATCTTCTTCGGCATCCATTTCATCATCAACTTGATCATCATCCATCTCTCCATTTTCATCAACTTCACCGTTATCATACTCATCCTCATTTTCTTCATCCTGGTTGAAGAAATCTGAGTACATGGCCTCTTTACCACCTTCCTCATCATTAGAACCATCATCATCATCAATGTCATTGAACATATCAATCGATTCCTCATCGCTGTCATCTTCCCGAGATTTCTTACCTTCATTTCTTTCTTCATTTAATAGAAATTTCTCCATTTCTTGTAGTTTGAAGAACTGATCATCAACTATTGAAGTCTTACCCTTAGATTTTGGAACTGTTTTCTTTTTCTTAGGTTTCTCATTAATTTCGTCTTCATCCTCATTTTCATCAGATTTCTCTGATTCTGAGTGTTCCTCATCTTCAGATATTAATTTATCGCTATCTAAATTATTTTTCTCGTTACTTTCTTCATTAGAAGTCGTAACAGGGAACTCTAAGTTAGTTTTACTGGACATACAATTAGCTACATCCCATACAAGCTGGTCCCAACATTCGGTGTTTTGAAGTTCTATTTGTTGCCATATCTGTTCCTCGTCGAAGTCTTGAACTATCATCTCCGGCAGCGCAGCCTTCTTCACCTTTTTATCGATAGTTTCTTGAGTTTTCGTATAATCATAAAGTGATTTAACCAAGTTTTTAATATCATCTTTGAGGTCACTTTGCACAGCGAGAAATTTAACAGGTTTCTCTGTGAAACTGTTGAATTTACCAGTTATATCTTCCAGTACTGGACACGCCATGGTTGTTTTCAGTTGTAAACAATGAATATTAATTGTATTTATTTAAATTCCACATGAAAATAAATGTAAAGTACCTCTTGACTACAACAAAATCACACGCGGTATTGTTTTTTTCGTGAATGACAATTTTGACAGTAGTCCTATCACGTGAACACATGTCTTTTTGCTACGGTGCCATTCTGTGCCCAACAAAAACCACAGATTGTATAAAAAACACCCTTCTTTCTCACTGAACCATCATACAGTCTTGTCTATGGCTATGGTCTATGAATCTCTGTCATTACATTCTGTCATTCATTCTTATCATTCATTATTTTTCTATTTATTTTCTTTCATTGTGTATCGTGGAATTCGTGATGATAAAATAGAAAAAAATCATAATAAATCGTAAATGGTGTGTGTTTTAGATCTGCATCTTATCTACAAGCTGCAATAAATGTGATATAAAGAAGCACCTTTAAAGAAAAACACAAGGTAAGTCCGATTGTGTATCTAACTGTATTTGTGGCTTATGAATAGATTTTTCACTTCAGTGACCGTAGCTTGCCCTCTGCTTTGTTTAGATCTCATAAATAACACCAAAGAAAAGCAATAACTTTACTTTTTCGCGTCGTAGTATAAATTAAGAATTTGTGAAATGTGAAAAATACCACGCTCGGAAATTACTCTCAAAAGTGAAAGGTATGGTCAACAGTTGTGGTTTTTTTATCACATGCATTGATGCGTATGGTCATGGATGTTTTCTCATGGATATCCTTCCTTTACCCAAGTCTATAAGCACAATAATAACACGTCAACAATATAAGATACTGAATCAGTAATAAAACCGTGATCCCATATTCTATGGCCATTTCTGCCCTTGAGGTTTGCACTTTTTGCGGAAATGACTTTAAGTAACATTTCTTCCTTATAATGGACGTAATAAAATCACCACACACATCAATTCCACAATGAGTTTTAAACAAAAAGATCATTGATATCCCCAGTGTTGAATGGTGTTGCTTCTGATTTACATAAGATCACATGGTAGCTCTTCATAATAATTAAGGAAGTACCAATATCTCATACTACTATCTGACTAATCTTATAAATGATTATAAGGATTTCTTTCACATACAATGCATCTAAATATGGTACAAAACACAAGAATAATATGATTAATTTTCTATAGGAATATTCTGAGATTAAGCACCAAAACAAACTCGGCAATTTTGTTAAAAATATATACAGTATGATCAAGTTTATTCTGTAGAGGTCTTTTTAAAAATTAACCAAACAAGTTTGAGTGGACCTGTTCCAATAATGGACATAATAATGTCGTAGTGGCCCAGAGGTTTAAGACGCCCGCTTCTCATGCATGAGGGTGCGAGTTCAAAACCTACCAACGGCAAGTACCAATGTGACTTTTTCCGAGTTATATGTACTTTCTAAGATTATTCAGACACCACTGACAAACTGTGAAGGAAAACATCGTGAGGAAACCTGGGTCTTATAATTTCTAATCATAAGTTTGTAATCACCAACCCGCATTGAGCAAGCGTGGTGATTAATGCTCAAACCTTCTCCATGTGGGAAGAGGCTTTGCTCAGCAGTGGGCATTTATAGGATGTTGATGAATGAATGAATGAATGTTCCAATAACGGACATAGGTATATTGTTGTGTTGCAGTTTACATTCACCTCAAACTAAAAGTAATAACATCGAGATTCATTCATAATTTATGTTTCATGTCCCCAGTTACAATGGAAGGTCAAGATCAGATGGAGCTGAAGTTCAGTGGGAGCAGCGAGGTTGGGGGACTGGAGCTGTGTATTGTGTGCGGAGACAGGGCCTCCGGAAGACACTATGGAGCCATCAGCTGTGAAGGTAGGTTCGAATTAGGTTGCAAGTGTGTGGCATACACATACAAAGATAAGTTTAAAAATAAGAACCAACTGATGATGTATGTAACTGATGTTTTTTTAAACTTATTGAACATCATAAAATTAGAAGTTTGTAATGTTATTTTTCTGGTCTCAACACGCCATATTTGTTTAACTTTTTAACCCGTTGAAAATCATCCCCTAAATTTGTAATTTTATTTTTTTATGAAATAGGAGGCAAACATAGTTAATACAAAAAACAAAAGTAGTCTCTATACATTGGAAATAAGGTCTATAATGTAGTTAGAGAAGAGTGGTTACCGGTGACCGCTTGGGGATAAAGTTTATTATATCTCAGACACTTTTGTTTTCTATGTTTTACCTGCTTGGCGCACCAATCTGTGTTGTTACAGTTAGGTACTACTGTGTTTGACATATGTCTGCTAGATCTAAGACACTTGATGATTACCAAGTTTGGATGGAATTTCAAACATCTCTTTAAACAAGATCTAATCTTTAATTTCTTTCCATCAGGCTGCAAAGGTTTCTTCAAGCGCTCAATACGCAAGAAGCTTGGCTACCAGTGCCGCGGCAGCATGAACTGTGAAGTCACCAAACACCATCGCAACCGCTGCCAGTACTGTCGTCTGCAAAAATGTCTCGCTTGTGGCATGAGAAGCGACTGTGAGTATCTTTGATGCACTTACTTTTGTAATAGGGATATGAGAACTGCTTACTGATTTTGTACTTTTTTTTGGAGTATATGAGGATACATGCATATTCTAATAATGACAGAGCTATCCATTTAGACTAAAGAAGCTTGTTTGTAAGTCAAAACTAATTTTTTTACACTTCTAAAGTAAGCAGTTTACATTTCAAAATTGGATTAGCATCAGTTAGGTTCAAAATCTTACCATGATATTCTAAAAATTTTGAAAATTGATCATTTTACTCTGATATCAAACTTAACAACATAAAAAATGTATAAATATGTATAGTAAGTATTCTGATGAGCAATAATTCTTGCACTGTATGCGACAGCGGTCCAGCACGAACGCAAGCCGATCGTGGACAAGTCCAAGGGCGAACAGAGGGAGGCTATCCACGACAGACAGGCTGCTTACTCCAAGTTCCTGGGTCTAGCTGGCCAGGGACAAGCCGGACAGGTGAGCCAGATAATCTACTATATAAAAATAAGTCGGATTTCCTTCCTGACGCTATAACTCCAGAACGCACGAACCGATTTCCACGGTTTTGCATTCGTTTGAAAGGTCTCGGGCTCCGTGAGGTTTATAACAAAGAAAATTCACTAATCACCAAACGAAATGTTATATAAAACGAAGCCATCTGGTGGCGAAACGGAGTTCGCCGGGTTTGCATATATTTCGTCGTATGAATATTTGGTAAAATATATTTCACTCACCACCCCTTTTGGTGGCTGTACCCGCATCACAGTTAACTGTACATGCGGGTGTCGTAGAGCCGACAAGGCCTACATATTTGACAAAAACCGCGATCTTCATCCCGCAACATAACGATTGGCAAACGCTCTTATTTATAGGTGTCCCAAAGCCACAGACAGTCATGAGCTGTTTATGATGATTCTTCGAAGGTGTAGAAAACCATTTAACAATACTAATCATTGTAACAATAAAATAATATAAATGTATATAATTTTACAGATAAACCCTAAGGAGGAGCCTACCGATGCGTTCGGCGCGGTGTCCCCGGCGCCCGCCATCAACTTTGCCCTCGCTGCCGCCGTAGCATTCAACAAGGGTAACCCAGGTACTACAACAATAACCACCACGGTTATTCTATGAACTTACAATAAAACAATATAAAAGATGGGATATTAAACGATTTTTTTTTTTTAATAAGGTTTGTAATTGGTACTTATAATGCGTCAAGCGTGTCTTTGCATTGTTCTCACATATACATACAGTATTGGAATATGTATCAGAGACATCGTAGAACATACTTTTTTAAAAAGAGTAACAAATAGAGTTTCTTGCTCGTTCTTCTCCATTCGAATCTACATTTTGGAACGAGCGCCTAGCTTCACCTAGCTTCACTGACGGGACGGACTGACAGACTATTATCTATTTTGTATTTGTTGATGTTTCAAAAGTAACAAATTATGGTTTCATTGAAATAAATGCTTTGACTTGGATTTTGACATAAATATTTAACAAATTTGTAATAATACACCAAAGTTAAACTAATATTTCATTATTCCTCTTCTTAGTGTCGCCGTACCTGACTCCGGGCAACGCTGGTGACATCGAGGGAGCTCGCAGACAACAGCTCATGTTGCAAACACAGCTCGCCAAGAATCTCTTCAAGATGGGACAGTTTGGTAAGTCGTAAGATTTGTTAATGGAATAGTAAGGTAAACGAGCAGACGGATCACCTGATGGTAAGCAATCGGCGCCGTCCATGGACACCCGGAACACCAAAGGAGTTACAAAAACGCTGTCAGTATTTTGGGGATTAGTGACGTGAGGATTGAGAGATTTGGGGATTGGGGATGGAGTAAAGAGGATTGACCCTTTGATTGGTTAAAAACCAAAAATTTATTCCAGCTGCATAAAGCTTTTTTTTTTATTCCCAGGCCAGCAATATCCTTACAGACTAATCCAAATCGATATTGAGGTTTCTTATATCTAAATTACCAACTAGATTTTTAACTAACCTACTAAGCTAACCATAACAAATACTAAGAAGTGCTACTGTAGTGAATTCACTCAGAGTGCAATAAAACATATCGACGTCTTCAGCTATGTGGTTGAGTGCGCGCAGTGCGCAGGTGCTAGGCTCTACCAGCACATGAATGCATTAGAAGTACTTTGTGCCCCAGGTGCCATCAACGAGTACCTGCAGTCCGCGTACGGCGCGAGTCCGGCCGAGGTGCCCCTCGCGGCACTACACGCCGCGGACACACAACCCAATGACGGTATGTACTTATTATGAGTAGTCTTAAATATTATGATTATTATTTACTAGCTTTTACCCGCGGCTTCGTTCGCGTCATAAAAGGATAAAAAGTAGTCTATGTGACATATACCAATACACACAGCGCCATCTATACCAATAATTTCGTTTTCCCTCGAGAATATCAATTTTCCGGGATAAAAAGTACCATACATACATAACATCACGCCTTTATCCTCGAAGGGGTACAATGTAACACCCACTTTTCACTATTATGTTATGAGTCCCATGTAATAGGGGGTGAGCCTATTGCCATATACCGGGCACAGTTCCAGACTCCGTGCTACTACTGAAAATTTTTTAAAAACCCAGTAATACTTTGCCCGACCCGGGAATCGAACCCGAGACCCCTTACTCGGCAGTCGCAATTTCGACTACTCGGCCAACGAGGCAGTCTTCACACTTCACATCTGCAAAAATTCAAAGCAATCGGTTTAGTAGTGACGGTGTGAAAGTGGAACAAACAAACTCACTTTCCGATTTATAATATTAGTAAGGACTAGCTATTAATTTGAAGGTAGTTTTTGTACGGTTTCATTCCATAAAGTTCATAAAGCTCAACTATCCTCCCTTCCCCAAACTCTTTTATCCCAGAATTCCTAATCTCTAAAAGGCTGGTAACGCACTTATAACGCCTCTAGTGTTACAGGTGTCGGACGGCGCTGATTGGTTACCTTTAGCTGATCCGTTTCCTCGTTTACTGGCTTATCCCATAAAAAATAGTCCACTATCTGAAAGCAGTATAGAATGTATTTTATCTATTCCCCAGTGGAGTCAGGGCAAGGCATCCTGAGCAGCCCGGAGTCGGTGCAGCTGTGCGTGTCGCTGCCGGGCCCCGCGCCGCCGCACCTGCGCCTGCACGCCGCGTGCGAGGCGGGCGCGCGCCTGCTGGCCGCCGCCGCGCGCTGGCTGCGGGCCGTGCCCGCCGCGCATGCACTGCCGTCAGTATTCAAATAATAAAAAAAAATAGAAATACTCAGACTATTCATGGGTAAATTTTCTTCCTCGGCATTATATAATGCCGAGTAAGAAGTATAAGACAGTGCCTCATTGGCCGAGTGGTCACAAGTGCGACTGCCGGGCAAGGGGTCTCGGGTTCGATTCCCGGGTCGAGCAAAGTATTACTGGGTTTTTAAAAAAATTCTCAGTAGTAGCACGGAGTCTGGAATTGTGCTCGGTATATGGCAATATTCTCACCCCCTATTACATGGGACTCATAACTTAAATAGTGAAAAGTGGGTGTTACATTGTACAGTGGCATAATGTGCACCTCTGCCTACCCCTTCGGGGATAACGGGGATAAAAGGCGTGATGTTATGTTATATGTTATGTTATATAATACTGCCGGGCCCCGTGCCCGCCGCGCATGCACTGCCGTCTGTATTTTTATATGTATATGATGGCCCGACGTATGTCCACTATTTCGCCTGGTGGTAAGCGATGATGCGGTCTACGATGGAGCACGAATATTCTACTTGGCAGCACATAAAAAATGTCAACGGATTTTTTTATGGTATATGCCGAGTAAACGAGCAGACGGAACACCTAATGGTAAGTAATCGGCGTCGCCTATGGACACCTAGTACACCAGAAGCGTTACAAGTGCGTTACCGGCCTTTTGGGAATTAGGGATTTGAGGATTGTTGGGGATTAGGTTATTGGGAAGATTGGGGAAGGGAGCTGGGCCTCCGGTAACCTCACTCACACGATAAAACACAACTCAAGCGTTGCTTCACGTCGGTTTTCTGTGAAGCCGTGGTATCATTCCGGTCGAGCCGACCCATTCGTGCCGAAGCATGGCTCTCCCACACTTAAAATAGTGTTGCCTTGTGGCATGGTGGTTGTGGTGTTGTCACCATGAAGAATACAGATGATGATGATATTAATAATGTGACTATTCCCCCCAGGTTCGAAGTCCAGGTGACGCTCCTAAAGAAGTGTTGGCCGGAGCTGTTCGTGCTGTGCCTGTCGATGTTCTCTGTGCAGCTGTCGCTGGGCGCGCTGCTGCCGCAGCTGGTGGCCCACCTGCAGGCCGTGCTGCGCGACCGGGCCTCCAGCGACACCATCGACCGCTCGCATGACATGGCCGTGCCCGAGGTATGTTCTGACACGTATTTACTTTATTTCTACTTGAGGAGTTTGTTTTAGTCTCCTCTTAGATTAGACAGATAACAAATATGAGCTTAATTTAGCTGAAGTTCGTTTAAACATCCTTACTATATATTATATATAATATAATATATAATAAGGATGTGAGTTTGTTTGTTTGTTTGTTTGTTCCGCTTTCACGCCGTAACTACTAAACCGATTGCTTTGAATTTTTGCAGACGTAAAGTTAGAAGTCCGGATTAAATAACAGGGTACTTTTTATCCCGGAAAAATTAGATATTCCTGAGGGAAAACAAAAGTATTGGTATAGATGGCGCTGTGTGTATTGGTATGTCACATAGGCTACTTTTTATCCTTTTGTGACGCGAGCGAAGCCGCGGGTAAAAGCTAGTAATATTATAGTTTTTACAGAAAGTCTAACTAGAATGATCTTTGTTTAAAATATTACTAGGTAACCCGTAACCCGCAAACGTACCGCCTCCGTACATTTCAAGACAAAAATTTGCCAAATCGATTTTGCCGTTTTCGAATTTTAGCGAGACTAACGAACGGAAATTCATTTTTATTTATATAGTTTCGTAGTACAGCTTTGCTGCTGCACTATCGCCGAAAAGATAATTAAGATTTGAATATTTTGTAATTATTTACAAAACTATCATTATGACATTTGTTTCTTAAATCCCCAGATATCAGCGAGCGACTACTCGGACGAGCGCATCGCGGAGGTGACGAGCAGTCTGTCGCGGCTGCAGCAGTTCATATCCCACATGGAACAACTTCGGCTGCAACAGAGGGAACACGCGCATCTACGCGCTCTCTGTCTGTTCTCACCCGGTAAATATATCTACTTACTTTTTAAATATGTGCTTTTATAAACATATATATTACTAACAGCTTCTGCAATTGACTTCGCCCACGTTCCCATGGTATGAATGAAAGTAGCCTACCCTTAACCGACGAGCATGCATGAAAAGATTGATGACTGTTGATGAAGACAAAGAGATATGTAGGAATCGTAGCAATTAGCGTTCCATAGTCTCTGCCTACGCCCATGGGCGACAGGCGTACATTTATGTATATATGTATGTGCTTTTCCAGAGCATAATCTAACCGTGTTCCTAATTTAAATCCGGATCCCTTCAGCCATTTTCAAGTGATTGAGCAACAAACATTCACATATTTATAATACTAGCTTCTGTCAGCGACTTCGCCCGCGGTCCTTGTGGATAAAGTAGCCTATGTGTTCTTCCAGACCATAATCTACCCTTGTTCTAAATTTCATCCCCATCTCTTTAGCTGTTTTGACGTGATTGAGTAACAAACATACAGACAAACTCAGAAAGTTTCACATTTATAATAATATAAAGTAAGATGTATGGCAATAGGCGCACCTCTATCTCGTGCGATTCGTAACATAGCCAGTAGTAGCCACCAGACCACAACGAATGGGGCCCAATAGGGCTGATGCCGATACGGAGCCGCGGAGAAGCTAACGGGTTACCAGGGCTCTGGCTCGAAGTGCAGGAGTAGGAACGGGGTGGTTTTTAGTCAGTAAGAGTCTGACAGGGTCATTCGATGATTTACCCCTCTTAAAAAAAACATAGCCAATAGTGTAAAACTACAATGTAAATTGTTTACCGACACATAAATAACCCCAAACATTCATTTCCAGATGGTGTACCAGACTTTTTAACCCGTAAGCTGCAAGACTACCAAATCAAAGTGCTCCGTTCCCTCCGAGCCACCTGTCAGGATGAGGACCGGTTAGCCACCCTGCTCCTCCAGCTTCCAGTCCTAAGGACCTTCTCCGGACCTTTCCTGGAGGATGTATTCTTCGTAGGCTTTGTGGGAGACGTCAGCATCGATGATGTTATACCTTATTTACTGAATGGTGAACGCTAAGGTAACATTTTCGACGAAGGTTGTGGTTTCTTTTTATAGATTTTCTTCTGAAACTTTATATTTTAAAGCGAAAGCTGATTTTCGTGACCATTTGCCATGCGTAACTCTTTTAGTAGGCATGATGTTAATGTCGATTTTTTACATCTTCATAATATAAATCAATCAAATTTACATCTTCAAATAAAGACTTTGAGTTTGAGTTTGTATGGAGAAGAACCTTAATATGGCTTATCTAATGAGTTTTTAAAGTAATTTAGTGTATGTGGCACAGTGACTTGCGACTTAAGTTCACAATAAAGCCCACTAGTGGTAGAAAAATACACTCAATTATTATATAGCTGTCATTTTTTGACCTTTTGAAAAAGAAAAGAGGTTCTGAATTGGACGTGTATTGTGATTTTCAGAAGTGTTTGTTACACTTAAGGTTTAAGTATATTAAAACAATTTATTAAGAAGGTTGAACTCGTTTTTTTTAAACGACGAGTATTGTAAATTATTCTGCCTGATGACTGATGAATCGTAGTCATCATTCCTAAATAACTGGCGAAAATTAGATGTTATTTTTAATATGTGCACTGTGCACTTCTGCCTACCCTTTCTAGGAGTCAAAGGCGTGATGTTATGATGATAATATTATTTTATAATACAGTAGTTTTGAGAAAAATTGGACTAAGACTAACTTTTAATATATTTTTTTCTATTTACAAACCTATTATAATGAAATACATATATTACCTACCCTTTAGACGTGATTTTATGTATAAAACATCCAGTTGTACATTTTTAGTCCAATTAGACTGAAAACTACTAAATAATTAACTATTTTAAGTACTAAAGCCAGTATGTAAGATAGTATGTGGTTCGGTGCTCTGCGCGTGCGCACGCAATCATTCCTTCCATTAAAAAATAATATTAAGCTATAATATTTTAATTATTAAAGATTTTAACGTATTCACATAAGACAATAATTGAATTTTATAAAAATATTTGTAAGTAACACTATTGTTACTAAGTTGTGAATAAGTTATTAAAATAGCTGATTTTGTTATTATTATTAATAAATCATAATAATGTCTTTGTTTATTTTAGTTGGTTTTGTTATTAAGGCTATGTTTTAACTGTAGTATTTGGAAAGATGGAGTTTTGTAATTAGCTTTATTAAACTATAAATGTGTAGATTTGTTTACTACGGTTATAATTTGATACATTTTACTTGGAGCTTATGTCGAAACTAGCTCGCTCGGATTCACTTACTGCTCGGCTCCTATTAGTAGCTTAATGTTTTATAGGCTATGAATAGAGTATCCAACACGGAAAGATATCTTAATTTCGAAACAGTTTTGTTTTATGGGATAAGCCGGTAAACGAGCAGACGTGGACACCTGGAACACCAGAGGCGTTACACGTGCATTACCGGCCTCTTGGGATTAGGAATTTGAGGATAGTTAGGGATTCTGGGATTGTGGGGGGGGGGGGGGGGTAATGGGCCTCCGGTAACCTCACTCACACGACAAAACTCAACGCAAGCGTTGTTTCACGTCGATCTTCTCCTCGTTGGTGGTGTCACTCCGGTCAAGCCGGCCCATTCATGCCAAAGCATGGCTCTCCCACACTTGCGGAGATTAGCGCGCATAAACTTCAGCTTTAAATTTAAATATATATTATCGTCTAGTAAACAAATCTATAGATTTAGAGGTTATCGAAACTGACTTTTAGCGTGTATTGTACTTTATTTTGTAATTAATTTGTGTTACTGAGATATTCAGTGAAATGTAAAACATTTAAAAGTGCCTTCCAGTGAAAAGATTTAATAAATTGATAATGAAAATGAATTGTTGTTTTGATTCTATTTTGCTAAGAGACAATGACCTCGGAGTTTGACTGCACGGTTGGCGCGGTGGCTGGGCAACTGGCTGATTTCCGCACGGAACAACTCTTTGTGTGATCCACAGATTGTTGTTCCGGGTCTGGGTGTCATGTGTATGTGAACTTGTATGTTTGTAAACGCACCCACGACCCAGGAGAAAATCCTAGTGTGGGGCAACGGTTTTTTTAAAAAAAGAAGTTTTTTCGGCGTTTCTTCTCAGAGTAATCAGTTAGGAAATCCCTCTTCTAGTAATTTAAAGATTGACGTGTAAAAGTGTTACTTTGTATCCAATTTGCAGAAATATTATCATTTAATTTCTATGATTTGGGATTTGGCATCTCGAGTTATTGTTCGATATCACTATCAAAACAAAATCATCGTCCACTGCTGGACTATGATGGGCTTCCTTCACAAAAGAGGGTTTGGCATTATCTACACAATTGACTAGTGAGTCAGAGACCACAGTTTGCAAGAATGAGGTTTATCAGGGAATGCTGCTATCCAGTCTCATACATATGTACTTAAATATGTATTTCTTCAATGGACTTCTACGACCCCCAGAGTCCCGTGTAATAAGGGGTGAGCCTATTGCCATATACCGGGCACATTTCCAGACTCCGTGCTACTACTGAGATTTTTTTTAAAAACCCAGTAATACTTTGCCCGACCCAGGAATCGAACCCGAGACCCCTTGCCCGGCAGTCGCACTTGCGACCACTCTGCTAACGAGGCAGGAAACTATACCTACATATATTTCTAAACACATTCAAATGTATAAAAACAAATATTTGAAGTGCAATATTTTATTAAAAAAAATACATCAGATTTTACATTTAAAATTCTCTATCGGGTTTAACACCATCCCAACTGACGATGTCCTTGTTGAACCATATGAGTTGCCCTCTTAATGTATCCGGGGCATCTAGAGCGACGTATAATGGTGCGGCGGCTCCCTCGTCTATGGTCATAGGCCCATTGTGAGAAGACATGTCTGTGTCCACGAAGCCGGGATGCACTGAGTTGATTTTCAAGTCTGTAAAGTGAAATTAATTTGAATTGGTATTTTGTTTGAAAATGTAGGAGGAAGGGGCCTCTGACTAGATAGAAAATAATAGCAGTTTTTTAAGAAGCACTAGACTGAAAGAAAAAGCACTTATAGAAAAATCATTTTGACTAATTAAAATATGTGTAAGTAGATAGCTTAGAATGCTTAGGGCCTTGGGCCTTGGGTATTTACAGCTTAAGAAAGAAAACGAGTTTGGAGTCACTGAGGTCGCTAGTACCTGTGGCAACTATGACTCAACTTTGCAGAGCAATGCAGAGCGAGGGGACTGGGATGCCGTCTCCTCCTTCAGCGAGGTAGTCATGCTAGCCAAGGAGGAGGCGGGACGCGTGAGGGAACGAACCTCCTCACGACCCGGCCATCGCGAGACACACTCCGGGCGTCGGGGATCGCGAGACGATCTCCGGCCACCGTAAGCACGAGCCTGCGGACGGCGAGCACGGGTGACTCGCCGCCCGACCAGAATCAGGCCCGAGCGTACGGCGCGTTGCGTCCCGCGCGTGCCTCAAGGAGCCATCAGACCACCACAGATGACCTAACAGGGCTGATGCCGATACGGAGCCGCGGAAGACTTAACGGATTGCCGGGGCTCCGGCTCGAAGTGCAGGAGAAGGAACGGGGTGGTTTTTAGTCAGTAAGTAAAAGGGGCCAAGGTTGTCGATTCAAGCGACTATGTCCACCTTTTTTAAAGTCTTTATTTATTCATGGGATACGATCCATAGGTGATTCAGTCAGAGTCAATAATCATCAATCACTTTTATATCGCGTCACTCTGGTTTGTCAAACTGTATGTACATACTTATCTATTGTTTACTTGACATCATGATTGTATTTTAGAAAATTACGTTATCAAATGCTGACTGGCAAAACTAAGTGATAATGGATGATATCTACTTTTTCATGAATGGTAAATAATAGTAGCAACGGAAATAATTTTATCTTATACCTACTTGAAAATATCTGTCTATCTGAACCCCTGTGTGGTTCGAAACTAGTAAACCTTTTTTAGTATATTCACGTGAGTAACCCGCGATTTTTAGTTGATTGTGTGTCTCACGATAGTTATTATAAAGAAGTAGGTCTATTTCTTAAGCTTTAACTCGTCGAGTACCGGTTTTATAGACACAATTAAAGAACAATAGGTCGCGGTCACCGGTGACCGCTTGGTGTTTGACACAGGTGAAGGTAAATATGACAGGTAACGTACCTAACTGGTTAATCTCTGAAGACTGAAGCAACACAAGCAACCTATCTCGCTTTCTCTAGTGTTGTGTTGAGTTGACTATAAACATAACATAACATCACGTCTTTTATCCCCGAAGTAACCGGCAGAGGTGCACATTACGGCAATTAATGCCACTACAATGTATCACCCACTTTTCACTACCTATTTATGTTAGAGTTCCATGTAATAGTAGGTGAGCTTTTTGCCATATACCGGGCACAATTCCTGACGCCGTGCAACTATTGAGATTACAAAAACCTAGTAATACTTTGCCCGACCCGGTAATCGAACCCGAGACCCCTTGCCCGGCAATTGCACTTGCGACCATTCGGCCAACGAGGCAGTCTAAAAATAAAAACATTAATTGCTTACTCAGTTAGGCTATTAACTGTCATTTCGAAGTGAGCTCGATGGCATTCTCGCCCGTCATTGGTCGAGATTATTCTCACAACCAAAATGACATGGCAGACCGCGATCGAGATCACTTCTAATTGAAAGTTATAGAATAACCTAGTTGCTCTCAGGAGCTACAACTCACCTCTATCCATATACATGCGTTGATGAATGTTACTCAACGCCGTCACTCCAACTTTGGCCACCACCAGCGAGGAGTTCCCCCACTCCGCAGCATGGGTGCCTTGCTTAGCAGCATCCACGTACTGCTGCATCAGAGCTGACAACCCTGACACAGTCAACTTCTCATCTTTCAACTTATCTCTCAACGCCTGACTGGGGATGTTACTCAAGTGAGCGTAAGAACTTGAAATGTTGACAACCCTGGCACCATTTTTAAGAACTGGGAATAAAATATCGCAAGTTGTGACTAAAGCGAAGTAATTGACGTGTATCGTCTGTTCTGCCTGGATAGCTACTGGATCTGTGGCGTGCCTGCCGAATGCAATGCCAGCGTTGTTGACTAAGATATCGATTCCGTGATAATTCTTCTTGATGTAGTCTCTAAAGGTCTCGAGGCTGCGTGTGTCGGTGATGTCGAGCTGGTGGTAGCGGGGGTGCAGACCCTCACGCTGCAGTGCTTCCACGGCCGCGGCGCCGCGTTCCGCGCTGCGCGAGGTCAGGTACACAGCGCCCTCGAACCGCTTGCACAGCCCGCGCACTATTGCGAACCCGATACCCTTATTCGCTCCCGTCACTACAGCTACTTTTGTCGACATTTTACACAAAAAGTCACCGAGACTACCAACTTATTCTGGTTATAATGTAACACTGAATCGTCGGTCTACTTGTGAGTTGTTTACACACAAAAACAGCAATTCATTGTGAAACGGGTTTGATAAAATTGTGCTCTACCTCAGTTGATATAGATTAAGCAATTGTAAGTACAAACAAGGTATGCTTACGTAACGTGTGAATGACACATCTTAAACATCATAACAATTTACTTGTTAGCCATATTTTATACATATATAAATAAATAAATATTTTTTACCTATTATTATTAACCTGAAGTGTTTTTGTTTGTTTGAATGCGCTAATCTCAGGATCTACTGATCGGATTTGAAATAATATTTTTGTGTTGAATAGTCCATTTATCAAGGAACGCTGTAAGCTATAAAACATCACGCTATGGTCAATAGGAGCCGAGCAGACCGGGTGAATCCGCGCGGAAGTAGCTGCCATTTATTAGTGATGACATAATTATATTATCACTAATAAATGGTGTTAGAAATCTGCAAATGGTATACAACAATGGAATATTTTTTATAAATAAGGTCTTTGGGATTTAAGGTTGCTCGAATAGCTTTAACTTTATTTGAAAAAAATCTAATTTTTCTTAAGTTTCATAGTTTGTACAGTCAAAATCTTATAAATCACACGACTGTAGTGCATTCAAAAGGAAATTAACCGATAGTAAAGTTATCCTAGCCTAGTCTATATCCTTACTGTAATCATTACAATTTCGAGATCATTTTAACGCAAATATTGCAAACGCAAATTCATAAGATAACAATCTGGAGCTTAGTAACGCGAATTAAAATGCAAATAGAACTTATTTAAGAAGGTAATTATCTACCGTAGATAATTACTTCATTTGGTAATTAATAATCGTCTTGAATTAACCTGCCTACATTTTTTTCAAAAGTGTTTGTTGTACTATTTTAACCGAGTTATAAAAATTATATTACCTATATTTATGTCGCATTTATAACGTAATTTATTGAAAGTTATTTAAATAAAAAAAATTATTTGAAATGAAATGTAATGATATTAATTTCTGCAAATGGGTTACAAAGTAACACGTCACTTTTACACGTCATCTTGAAATTACCAGATGAAAATCAACAATTCCTGACTGCTCTGAGAAGAAACGCCGATACAAACTCAGACTTCAGAGGTCATTGTTTCTTTTAAAGTCCAGACAGATTATATCATGTGGGAGAACCGTGCAAGTTAATTCTGTAGTGGATTTTTGAGGAAAGATCCACAACAGTTTATTTTTGTTAATTTTTTATTTAAGGTAATTTATTTATTTATTTAATTTGGTATTGATATCATTGTAATCATCACAAAATCCAAATCCTCCTCCTCCTAATCCTCAGGCATAACGCCATCCCAGTTAACGATATCCTTAGTGTACCAGACATATTTTCCTTTGATAGTGTCTGGTGCATCCAGTGCTAGGTACAGTGGTGCTGCCGCGCCTTCATCTGGTGTCAGGGGACCCTCAAATGATGACATATCCGTAGCTACGTAGCCAGGATATACGGAGTTCACTTTTATATCTGTGGATTGTATGTATTCATATCAGCGGGCTGTTCATGGTTCACATCATGGTATCTGTATTGTGTCCAATAAGTAAATATCAGATCAGAGTTCATGGGAATCATAACTGGCAAAATCTGCAGGATTATCAGAGGCCTTAGTAAGAGTTTCATTTACGTTTAAATTATTCGAAACGAGTGCGCGTTCGGCACTCTGATTGACCGGCGCCAATGAAGCAACCAATCAGAGCGCCGAACACGTACTCGTTACTAAGTCCTCAGATCTAGAAAGAAGACAGATGAACTATGGAACAGATGATACAGATTATAGATAAAAGACACCTACTAAATGCATGTAAAAACACTTGTAAGCAAATCCCCTCGAGAGATTTTTTTTTGACGTGGGAAAATCATCGATTGACTGCTCCCGCCTGGGTGAGGCGGGAGTGTCAGACTCTTAAATACCCCGTTCCTTGTCCTGCACGTCGAGCCGGAGCCCCGGTAACCCGTTAGGTTCTCCGCGACTCGAGAGAAAATAGGGTTTTAATAATCGTTTTCGTCTTCTTTATCAGTTATATAGTTTTGTAGAAAAATATACTTAGATTCCAGAACTATCTACAGTCAGACTAAAAAAGTTTAGGTACCTCTACTATTCAGTATTCTCTGTTGAATATTGGTCAGCGCGGACACGCCCACTTTGGACACAGCATACGAGGAGTTCCCCCACTCCGCAGCCTGGGTTCCTTGCTTCACAGCATCCACATACTGCCGCATCAGAGCTGACAGCTCTGACACAGTCAAATTCTCATCTTTAAGACGATTCCGCAATTCTACGCTGGGAATGTTGCTCAAATGACCAAAAGAACTGGAGATGTTAATCACTCTTGCACCATTTTTAAGTATCGGAAAGAGTATATCACATGAAGATACCAGAGAAAAGTAGTTTACGAATAATGTTTGTTCAGCCTGAACCGACAGCGGTTCCTTAGAGCTGCTCTTAAACAAAATGCCAGCATTATTAATGAGTATATCGATTCCGTCATAATTCTTCTTGATATAGTCTCTGAAAGTCTCGAGGCTGCGTGTGTCGGTGATGTCGAGCTGGTGGTAGCGGGGGTGCAGACCCTCGCGCTCCAGTGTCGCCACAGCCGCGGCGTCGCGTTCCGCGCTGCGCGAGGTCAGATACACAGCGCCCTCGAACCGCTTGCACAGCCCGCGCACTATGGCGAACCCGATACCTTTGTTCGCTCCCGTCACTACGGCTACTTTTGTCGACATTTTAAGAATCTAGGTATCGTATGTTTAAAACTAATTTCAAATGAACGCACCTTTATATTTATAAGTATAGAAATGCCTACATAGTGGTCAGATAATAATTTAATCAAATCAATGTGGTTCACCTCAACAAATGTAGGAAGGCCGAAATTAAACAAGAGATAACATTGCACCAACATTTATTTCTCAACTATTACAATTTAAATACAGAAATAACAATCATTATAAAATACGTATTTCAAAAAATATATATACTTCGATCAACATGTTAGACATTGAAGAGTTAAATATACAGTTTTTATACTTAGTAAATTACATAAAAGTATTTAAAAAAGTATGTTTAATCATCTCTTAAAACTAATGTATTGTGTGATGGGTAACACATATCAATTGGGTTCGTCAGCCCTGTGATTTTCTTAAATGTTTAATGATTTTATACTTAATTAAGGTAATATGAATTAAAATTTGATGCATTAATAAATAAGCATAGCTTGTAAAGAAGAATGCCACCGGAGAGGTCTTTTTGACCTTTTGTAACGTAAACTGTAAATGTAAACTGTCCCTTTTTCCACGGGACAGTTTACATTGAATCTTTATACGGTTTGTGTTGTTTTATTTTACTTTTAATAATGTACTATTAGAGGTAAGAGAACCCCCGTGATCCTTCCAATAAATCCCCAGACCATAAACCCCTATTAACTTCCACTTCCCCAAGCCCACTCAGACCCTCATCCCATAGATTCTGAAAGCAACAATAATCGAAAACGACCTGCAGATAGAGGGAGACTATACCTCCCGTAATAACTCTCAAAAGCTACTTAGTAAAAAGCATTAACGGTAGGCAGGGCTATACAGCTACAGATAACCCCCATTCATTTTTCATGTTTCTGTCAAGGACTTCAAGAGGACTGCCTACTCTCCACGGCCCTGTATTCTTATTCAACCATACAGCGGTACAACTATTGTCGTTTTAAGTGTGATCAGGATCATCCTGGCAATGGTTGTCAAGTTTCAGATGTAGTGGCTCATTGCATTAACTGCAGTAGCAATCATTTTACTAATAACAGCGGTTGTCTCAGTTGGGCAGCCAAAAGAGCAGTAAAGCTTTAATGGCAGCAAAAGCCATTTCATACTAATAATACTAATTTAATACAAACTGCAAAAAGCAATAAAAATACATGTAAGGTGCTTTGTATAATGTGTGTGCGCAGCTTTATTACCAGCCTTGTGTTCGTCGCCTAACAATAATGACGTTTGACACGAAGTGAGACAGTGACGGCTGACAGCAGCCCGCGCTTTTTTGATAGATTGCAAAACCTTGGGTAGATTTATTATAGTAATATTTTCTAATTGTTTTAAAGTTTTATAGAAGAAAAGTTAAAGTGCTTGTTCAACTGATTAATGTAATACAGTGTCGATCCACTGAAATATTGGAAGTAAAAACCTTTGATTGTCGTTTTTTCTGTTTTAGGTTGGTATTGGTAATATGTACCTACATGTTTGATCTTAATTGATTTGTGTGTTTCAATTGATTTTAACATTAAGCTTTTTGTTTTAGATAAATCAAAATTTTGCGTTATTTGAACCCGTATTATCCTACATATTACATATATTTATATTAAATAAGAATAAATTGTACTTTATTTTTGTACTGTGTACTTATTTTATTACCTATAATCGTCAATGTACTTTAAATGCCAAAAAAAAGGTGCAACCCTACACAATCTTTCTTCTAGCTACGATAAGAAGGCCCATCAAGCCCTTAGACATGATTACTCCTTTTCTCCATCTCAGAACGGTTGCGCTTTCCCTATGAAATCCGAAAGCTAAAATTTCCAGTATGCTCATGGCAGTGTTATCAAACCCTATCCAAACTATACCTGACCACGTTGCACACAGACTAGCTACAGTCTTAGATTATTAAATATAATCTAGAAGCAGAATATTAGACCGCGAACCTTTTTAGGAAAAAAAAATAAAGACAAAAACGACGTAATATTAAAAAAAACAAGCTCTCGAGAAAAACCACAACAGGGTAGGCAAAGTTTAAAACATATAAACATTTGTTTTAAACGTGTTGAAAACACATAAAAAACTCTTTATACTTTTAATTAGAAGAAATTAAAAAACTCATATCTTCTCTACTCGAGTCTTTGAGTAACGTCCCGTAAAAAAAA